GTTCATGGGGTCACGAAGAGTCGGACACGACCTAATGACTAAACAACAACAACAAAGTATTGTGTAATGAACTCAAACCATTGTGTATTTAAGTTGAATTTTGCTACAATAGGCTCCACTCTTAACTAAGGGTCGTCCTTAAATCAGGTGTTCTTAATCCAGGGACTACCTGTACAATGGCAAGAGTGACAAATTACTTTAAAAAGTAATTTCATGAAGATCAATTTGAAAATATTTCAAAATGTATTGATCTGATCATTCCAAAAATAGCAATTTTGAGCTCAAAACATCTGTTTTGACCTTTAGAATGGTCAGAACAACCCATTCAGAACTTGAAACAAATGCTTTGAGCTTGAAAGTGAGCATCTCAAGCTCAAAACTCTTTAAATTTGAAATAAATAAATAAACCCTTATCCTGCATGATCTTCCAAACCAGTGTTTCTCAACCTTGCCAACTTTAAGATGTGTGGACCTGCTGGCTGGGGAATTCTGGGAGTTGAAGTCCACACATCTTAAAGTTGCCAAGATTGAGAAACAGTGGTTTAAATCATGGTTTACTGATCAAGCCATAATGGCTGGACCATACATATCACTAACCATAATGGGTAAATTCACATATTGTGCTAAACCAAAAAACAAAACAAAACAAAACAAAATGAAAAACAAAATAATCATATAATGTGTGAATTATGCCGCATTCCCAAGGAACATAATACAGAATTAAGTAATGAAATTAGCTATATAGGACTTTCCACTGTTCTAAAAAAGGAAGAACTGTAATGGGTACTCGGGAGGTATTTCATTACAAGTTGGGTCTTTCAAAAACTGGAATATTTATATACAAAACTTACCAAATCTATTTGTGGAAAATGTAAAAAGAGGACCAGTTGTTCCTCCACTATCAGTGTATGCTGTCATACGCACCATATACAAAGTGTTACTTGATAAAGATGACAGTAAGTACTCTGTTTTTGAAGGGTCCACAGGCACAACTACAATGAAAAAAAAATGGATTAATAATATTTTGCATTAAATCTATCCAAACTAGTTTTCTCTAATAACAAAGATCTTAATTTAAATAAAAACATTTGCTGATTAGGAAGGTCTGATCTCAATATATTTCAACCTTCATTTCTAATGTTATTAATTCTATCAAAATATTCTGTAGTAATATAATAATA